TTGTACATTGATTATAATTTATTGTGATCATTGTACATTGATTATAATTTATTGTGATCATTGTACATTGATTATAATTTATTGTGATCATTGTAAATTGATTATAATTAGTTGATCATTGTACATTGATTATAATTTTCATTTCATTTTTCTTCTGCACGTTGTTGAAGCCTTGTTTGTGTACATTTTGCATTTTGATTTGTTGAATTGCATTGAAATCATGATTTTGAATTAAGTGTGTATTAAAAAAAAAAGACAGTAGAGTTAATGATGATGATGATGATGATGATGATGATGATGATGATACATTATTTGTATGTCTTCTTCTGCCAAAAGAAAAACAAAAAAACAAAAAAAAGTACGTAAGAAAGGGAAAAGAAAGATAGAAGAAGAAAAAAAGAAAAAATAATTAAAAAATGAATAGAAAAAAAAATTACAAAATAAAAAACAAGAAAAAAATATGGCTAAAGAATATACCTACGTGCGTTGTGCTGGTCACTGGCGCTTTGTTTTTCATCTATATAAAACACACATTACATATATACATACATACATATATACATATATGATTTTAATTTGTTTAAAAAAAAAAAAAAAATGCATTAAATAACATTCTCATTGTCGAAAAAAAAAAAAAAGAAATGAAAAATGAAGCTGTTTGTAATTTTCACGAAACAGCCGGAAGTCCTCGTGAACGGTATATTAATATTAATAATAATAATAATAATAATATTAATAATAATATTAATAATAATAATAATGTAACTGTGAAAAAGATTTTTGTATTATTTGTGTAAAAAATAATGGTCGAATTAATGTGAAAATGGTAGTAGTGTTTAAAAATAATCCTCTATAACAAAAAAAAAAAAAAAAAAACAAAGAAAAACTTTGATCGTTTACACTTGATTATAATTTAAATATTGTATATTTGTTTAATTATTATTATTATTATATATTATATTGTATTTTATATTATTTTATTTTATTTTATCGTCCAAGAGTCACAATTTTTTTATTGTTATAAAACTCGTTGTATTAGAAAAAAAAAATTAATATAATATTATTGTTTTAAGTATAAATTGTTTAATAAGAAACAACTAAAGTGGTATCATCAACGTTTAGATAACATTTATTTTTATTTAACATGATAATAATTATAGAGGGTTAAATAATAATAATAATAATAATAATAATAATAATAATAATAAAGGAAGTGCATTTTTAGCGTGCTCGTTTCTTTGAACATTTAAGAGAAGTGTCTTATATATTTGAAAATAAAAGGGAATATACGACAAAGAAAATTGTAAAAAAACAAACAAACAAACAAACAAACTTTGTTGAATGAATGAATTTGATAAAAAAGAGAAAAATGAAAAAAATGAAAAAAATGAAAAAAAAAAAAGAAGAAAACAAAGAAAAATAGAAAAGTTTTCTTCTTGAGAGAAAGAAATCTTTGTAAATTATAAATGCACAATCAAGTCTCTATTTATACTCATTATAAATAATATAATTATTTATTATTAATAATAATAATTGCGAAAAAAATATATTTGCACACAAATATATTGTTGTGCTCAAAATGTTTCTTTGTAAAACACTTAATGATGATGATCGTCATTTAGACGTTTCATATTTATCTTATTGAAATGATTTGATTTTGATTAATTCATTTATTGCTTTTTAATATACATATATATATATATGTATATATAATATTTATAAAGTTATAGAGAAATGAAAGAATTATTATTGATATTAAATAATTAATTTTTGGATACACAACACGTGCATGCTCGATTTTATATCTCTTTGAAGATAAACAACAAATAATAATAGTACAAAAAAAAAAACAAACAAACAAATTCAATTTAACAAATCACATGAATTTTGTTTTGTTTCAGACATTTAATTAAACACATACATTTAAAGTAACATTAAATTAAAACAAATTTTATTATTGGATATTTTTGAAATGATACAAAATCAAGTATACGTCCCTATATATATATATATAAATATTTGTTAAATCATTTCTCATGTGTTTTTTTGTCTAATGCTTTGCAATTGTAAATTTGTTAAACAATTGTTACTGCGAGCAGCAAGAGCCACTGCCAAACTGTGAACACATGGCGTGATGTATAACACAAACAAACGTTTGTTATGTTCTCTTGTATTGTTTAACGTTGTTAATTATTTTCTTTTTCTCTCGAGCATGCAAAAAGATGCACCGATGTATTATCTTCTCCCCTAAATAGCATTGTAAATCTGTTACTTCATTTTAATGACGTTTTAACACTTTGACTGCCATGTTAGTCATATATTGAACAGCCATTGTTTCTTGTAAGACACCACAGTGGTGTCATTGGTTGACTACAGCGTATGAACCTTTTACAATTGTAAAAAAGTAATTGAAAATTGAAAGTTAGGGTTATTTAAATATGACAGATATATTGAAAGATACTTTGAAATGAAAAAATGAACAATTGGTCATATATGAACAGCCATTGTTTCTTGTAAGACACCACAGTGGTGTCATTGGTTGACCATAGTGTATGAACCTTTTACAGTTGTAAAAAAAGTAATTGAAAATTGAAAATTAGGGTTATTTGAATATGACAGATATATTGAAAGATACTTTGAAATAAGAAATTGAACAATTGATCATATATGAACAGCCATTGTTTCTTGTAAGACACCACAGTGGTGTCATTGGTTGACCATAGTGTATGAACCTTTTACAATTGTAAAAAAGTAATTGAAAATTGAAAATTAGGGTTATTTGAATATATGACAGATATATAGAAAGATATTTTATAATAAAAAAAATGTTCTATTGAACAATTATTAGAGAGACTTGAAAGTAATGTCGTTTCTATTTGTTTATAAATATATATTTTGATATTTTAATTTAAAAACCGATTGATTTTGATCAGTCGAGTATTATAACAATTTGCATATTAGATTTAAAAAAAAAAAAACATGGTTGTTGATGACTAAATGTGATTATATTATTAATTTAAGAATAAAAATTGGTTAAGTAATTTGTTTGAATTTAAGGTTAGGAAAACGACATTATTACTTTAAAGTCTACCTAATACAATTTTTTTATTGGAACATCACACACACACACACACACAATTTATTAT